GGGAAATTTTTTTTTTTTTTTTTTTTTTTTTTTTAGTAAAAGCAATTCTGCTAATTAAAGGGGGAAACTTAAGTTAGGCTATTGCTATTTTACAATTTATAATGATAACTGACACAGATAATGATCATTAATAAAGATAAAAGCATTAAGTGAAATGCTACTGGGAAATATTATTAAGCATGGATTTCGCCAACAACACTGAGACTCAGTGATCAATCTTAACATCATGTAAGCAGAGAGAGTCAAACATTAGGTACCTTCTGATGGAATATCACCATATCATAAAAATTGGCAAAATAATTAATTTGATATAAAATTCTAAATGTACACACAATTTCAGGAAATATAGGAGAGAGAAGAGCACACTATGTATACCACCAGGAGTGTACGTGGCAAATCTAGAGTGTAGGAAACTCCACCAGAAATGTTGCACATAGCTTCAACAAATGAAATTGAAAGAATCAAGAATTTATGATGCACCTGTCTACATTCCCCCAGATACACACACTCAACTGGGTTTGGGAATTGTGCGTTCCTTTATCTTCCCTTCCATGTGGCATGTGTAGGAGCATATTAGAGGTATGTCTTGTTTGGGATACAAGTAGGACTTTTAAGAGCAGAGGAGAAAAGAGATGAAGGGCGGGGGAGGGAAAAGAACAAAAGGGGATGGAAAAAAGATGTAAAGAAAAATGGAAATAGAGCTTTTGCAAATGGGAAGCACTGAAAAGAGCAGAGAGGGATGGGAAGAGTAGGGGATGTAAGAAGAATTAAGATGTGTTAGGTACATGTGCAACTCCTCAGGAGGAATATAATCATTATATACTGTGAACATGTATTGATAAAAATGAACAGGCACTATAAAGACACAGGCATTATGTTTCTAGTATAATAACAAGTTGTATGAAATAAACTAAAGCTTCTATTCTTCCCCATCCCCAACTGTCGGACCCTTCTTCTTTCAAAAGAGATCTGGAGGGATTAGAAAGAGGCATTTTCCACGGTGCCATCTTTTTCAAAGTGGTTAGGCAGAATCATTCTTATCCAATACAGAAAGCTTTGAGGGGAACAGCAGCCAAGAAAAAGGTGATTGTATTGTTTGCATGGTTAAGGTGACCGACAGTCCCAAGTTTTGCAAAACTGAGCCATTTCCCAGGACATAAGAGTTCTCATTAAAACAAAAGTATTACACAGATCAAGACAAATCGGTCACCCAATAGTTACACCAAAGGAACATTTCTTAAAAAGAATAAAGGCCAACTTCTGTGGTTTGGAAAAATCATTTTATCTGGGCAACAAGTTTGTTTTCTTCAGGAATAAAGGTAATTGCTGTGCTAATGTGTATTTTCTCTTGAGTAATTCATCTAGTCACAGCCAAAGCTGGTTGGAAAATGGACCTAGATTCAAAATTCCTCAATTTATGGCTCACTTTCAATGATTCTCTACTTTAAAGCTAATAGTAAATCAGACAAAGAAAACCTTCAAAAACACTTGCATAAGGCCTTATAGTTTCAAAACAGCATCAATATTAATATGAACAATATAATTACAGAAGAGTTTCTGATTTTTTGACAGTTTTTTTTTTTTTTTTTTTTTTTTTTTTTTTTTTTTTATGTGCTTGCGAGACAGGTGGCAGAACCACTGAGCTAAATCCCTGACCCTGTTTTTTGTTTTTTGAGATAAGGTCATACTTTGTAGTTCAAGATGACCTTGCACTCACTATGTAGCTGAGGCTGGCTTCCAACTCGTGATGATCCCTCTGCCTCAGCCTCCTGAGTGCTGGTATCGCAGGCATGTGCAATTGTTATTATTCTTAGAGGGATGTGTAGTACATTCAAGTGATTGTTGGCTAAAAGTGAGTGAAAATAATTCTTTTCTGAGACATGAAGCACTAACTCCAGACGCAGCTAACTTCATTTGTTGTATTTTGCTTTTGCTGTTTAGGCTTTCTCATTTTAAAAAGTTAAGAACTTTCT